ATATAATAATTAATTACATTAAATAAATATGGTATTAATTATTTAGATACGACAATAACCCTACTCCATAGAAAATAGGGGGATTTTTTCTCCAGGAACTGTATATCTGTTAATAAAGAATATGGAAGGAGTTGTCTGACACGTGCCAACTTTTACCCTTTTGGAATATAGGGTCTTAAATGCTATTTCCCAAAACTTGAAGGGGCCAAATGAAATTTTAAATAATATGAAGGTTCTTTTGCAACGTCTGAATTGGAAAAAATAGTCTACAAAACAAAATAGAAATTTTTTTTTCCACGTAAGAAAATCAGTCAAAGCAGGGTGGCAATTGACAAGCAGCTCCTACTTTAAAAATCAAACATCTATCATCTTCTACCACTTGACTTTCCGCAGTGGAAAAACCTATTGTATAGACAGCTTCTTCTTTACCATTTTCAATATTCTTTATGTGGGTTTTGGTTTTGAGAATGGAAAGTTTCTTCAAGATGGTGCCTCTGTTCTTCTGCTTTCTCCTTATTTCAAATGTATCAGAACTCAAAGCAGCTCAAGAAGAATGCCAAACGGAAAGGTGCAAACACCAAACCATCCGGTTCCCTTTCAACCTAAAAGGGCAGCAGCCAGACCCCTGTGGCTATCACGGGTTTGGTATAAACTGCACAGAGAAAAAGCAGATGGTGCTAGAACTACCACAGAATGTCAAGTTGATGGTGAAGCATATAGATTATAAAGCACAGAGGATTCAGTTATCCGATCCAGGAGGTTGTCTACCGCTGCAGCTTCCCAATCTCGATTTATCTGCATCTCCCTTCCAATTTCCAACAAACTACCGACCACAAAAATACACCATTTTCAACTGTTCAAGGGAATCAAATATGGGTAATTTGCCTCTTTATGATGCATATGATTATGGATATTATAGAGGCGAGATTCCTTGCTTAAGCAGTCCAGAATTTCAAGTTATAGCTATATCTTCTAATTCTAAAAGAGACCCAGAATTCGTGAATTGCAGCATAACATTGCTGAACATTTCCAAGACAGAAGTATATGGAGAGATGTTGTATTCCCAGACAGGTGATGTTCACTTGAGCTGGTCCCAACCAAACTGCAATGAATGTGAGGCAGTAGGCAGGAAATGCAAATTGAAGATTAATAACAAGCAGGGCGAAACAGAGTGTTTTGGTACCACCAAGAAACAAAGAGGTATGCTTTTTAGCATTTCCGAATGTTATCAACGTCCTCATTGATCAGTGGGTTTAGCTGTTTTTCTTTGATTTAGCCTTAGTTTTTGTGTTGCTTTGATGTTTGTTCTTTTGCCTCTTACAGATAAGTGTAGTATAGGATTTAGTTTTCCCTGAACAGTGGCCAATAGGCTATGATGCCTTGGTTTCATGCTTTGCATATTACATTGTTATTAACTTGAGGAACATATATGACGCAGCTAAATTTCGAATGTCTTACAGATAGGCGAAAAATTCTATTGGTTGTGAGTATAATTCTAGGCTCTTGTCTTCTTGGATTGATTCTCTTCGGACTTTATCGTATTCACCGCTCACATAAAGCAGCGAAAGAGGCCCAGCTCAAGATTGAAAAGTTTTTGGAGGATTATAGAGTGCTCAAGCCCTCAAGATAATCTTACGCTGACATCAAGAGAATAACAGATCAATTCAAGGACAAATTGGGAGAAGGGGCCTATGGAACTGTTTTCAAAGGAAGGCTCTCCAATGATGTTTTGGTTGCTGTTAAGGTCCTTAACAATTTCAATGCAACTGGTGAGGAGTTCATTAACGAAGTGGGATCAATGTGCAGAATCCACCATGTCAATGTAACTCGCTTGATTGGATTTTGTGCCGATGGAAATAAGCGGGCTCTTGTTTACGAGTACATGCCAAATGAGTCCCTAGAGAAGTTCATATTTGTAGCTAAAGAAGAAGATTACCGCCTTGGTTGGGAGAAGCTTCAAGATATTGCTATGGGCATAGCCAAAGGAATTGAGTACTTGCATCAAGGTTGTGACCAGCAAATCCTTCATTTTGATATCAAGCCTCACAACATCTTGCTAGACAAAAATTTCAATCCAAAGATATCTGATTTTGGTCTAGCAAAACTGTGTTCCAAGGAACAAAGTGCTGTTTCCATGACAGCAGCTAGAGGAACCATGGGATATATTGCACCTGAGGTATTGTCTAGAAACTTCGGAAAAGTTACACATAAATCAGATGTTTATAGTTTTGGAATGCTATTGTTGGAAATGGTAGGAGGGAGGAAGAATATTGATGCTACAGTTGAGAGTACGAGCCAAGTTTATTTTCCAGAATGGGTGTATAATTGCTTGGACAGAGGAGAAGAGCTGAGGATTAGAATAGAAAATGAAGGACATGTGCAGATAGCAAGAAAACTTACAATTGTTGGACTTTGGTGCATTCAGTGGTATCCAGCAGACCGTCCATCGATGAAAGCTGCGATTCACATGTTAGAAGGAGAAGTAGACAGTTTGACAGTGCCACCAAATCCCTTCGGCCATGCAGATGCAGTGCAGATGAGGGCCAACATACCTAGGAAACCAAATAACAGAGAACTACCAGTTATCTTTGAATTGGAATAAAATACTTTAACGTATTCAAATTCAACGTAACTATTTTCCTCTGAATAATTGGACTATATAATGTAAACCAACTAGTTCTTTTCCACTTTTCCTATCCCTTCATCCATATCAAATTAAAGATGTAATCTTGAGTCCTGAATGTTTTATAGACCATTTAAAAGACTTGTATCAACTGAACCAGCTATTATGCAAATATAGAATGTCTTTACAAGAAGGATTTTTCTTCTTTATTTATTCATTTATTTTTATTTTGTTTATCTGTATTCCAGTAGATCAACATTTTCCCAAGTCTGATAACTGAACTTTTCATGAATCCTTTGGCAGCTATTTCATGCTTTTAACTCAGTTCTTGCTCTTCTCAACCTCATTGGTTCAATTTATTTCTAGTTTTTTCTAGTATGTTGAAGAGGGAGTTAGAATAGTTCTCTTCTTATCTTTCTCAAAATCCCTTTTACCTAGGAAAGAATTACGAGGGATAGAGCATGTATTCCTATGAAGATCCAGACTAGCATGCACCAATCGAAGTGTATCCTATAATAAGATATTTCCTCCACAAAGAATTTCCCAGATTGGGTGAGGAAAGTTGTGCGATTGTTCTTACAAACTAATTCAGACCCTGGGTAACCACACTCAATAGGGTCGCTACCTAAGCGAAAAGGGTAACTGATACTGAGGTTTCCACATGAAGAAGGGGCACAGGGCTTGTTTTGGCCTTGCGCAACAGAAGCATCAAGAAATAAAGACAGGGCAAAGGTCATAACGCCCAATGCTCCTACAAGCTTTGCTCTTAACATGCTAAAGGTTGAACAGGAGAATATAAGACCCTCTTCTTATGTTTTTATGATAGATGACACAAACCCAGATTCTA